TAACTATTAATACAGTTAATAAGAAATAAATAATAGCTTTGAAGAAACAAGTAGATATTAAATTCAATATGGACTGAAGTTGTCATAGGATTGAATGAGCCTGGTATTTGTGAAAATACAGAAAAATATCTTCAGAGTTGAAGAATATTTGTGTTGAAGAGCAGAATGGGTGGTTAGGATTTGAATAGGTAGACTATGAATAGACTGAAGGGTGTTAATGTCAAAGTCACTATTTTAGATGTACTCTAATAGGAATTATACACGTATACATGTAATATATATATGTAATTGCATGGTCTTAATGAGAAAAATAAAGCTTTTCTAGGAATACTAATCTTATAATATTCTTAATAGTTAGGGAATACTTTCCTTTTTTGTAAAGATGTATAATATTAAAATGAAATAATTCCTTAAAGTACTTAAAAATAGTAGTGACAGCCAGATAAATATGATAAAGGTCATTCACAAAATGTTCCTTCTCCTCTGCTTTAAAAACAGTAGAAAATTAGCAAAATTACTAACAGTAACCAAACAAATGTGAGAGGCCCCACTTAATGCATACATTTTTAAAAGTAACAGTCAAGAAAGTAAGTGCAGATTACAATCTGGCTAATATGTTCTAAATCCTGCACATGGATCTCCCAGACCTTGTAATGAGGGAAAAAGTTGATTAATTAAGATAATTTTTTTATTTTTAACTTATAAGCAGATTGAGGGGCTGAAATGAGGGCCAAGGAGAATCCTTCAAGAGTAGAAAATATGTCAGTTTCCTGTGGCATCTCATAGAGACAGAGAAAACTATTTTGTTTTAACCAGGAAAGGTACAATTTGTACTTAAAAATAATTATAATGCACATAAGTAAGTAGTAGTTAACCTGGATGAAACCTGAGACCTCTTCCTTCTTCCAAATCACACATTTTTGTTCTGTAGAAGAACTCAGTGAGAATCTGAATTCAAGAAGATTAAAAATTCAAAACACAACATTGTAAGAGATTAACAATAATTGAATAGGGAACAAAATATGAGAGCAGCACTATTATAGAACTAACTAGTCTCTTAGAGAAACAATATAACAAGTCAGAAAACTCAGAGGGAAAAGTTGAGATAATTGTACTATATTCCAATAAAAAAAATGATAGCTAAAATAGAGTGGGTGTTTAGATGATTAAGGCAGCCAATGTGTGGACAGTTGTCAGATAGTAAGTAGAAAATTAAATTCTTCAGACAGCTACAAAAAAGTTTCTTTGAAGTGATTCTTTTTGATCTAAAGGGCGTATTTTCAGGAAAAGCTGAGAAATAACAATTGGGAATAAAACTTACTGTGCTTGATTTGGAAATTCTCCATGAAGAATAATTCAGGAAGACATAGATGCAAAACCCATAAATAAGCAAAACTTAGGATAGTCTGACCCCTTACATATCTACAATATTCACTCCAAATATAATGAAGCATTATCTACAAGCATTGGAGGGAATGAAGGTGAAATCCAGGAGTATCACCATGAGCCACATTTTGCTCTGGTGAGAAGACTAAAAGAAAAAACCTCAAATGTAACAACTGTGAGTACTTGGAAGGGTGGTTGACGGATGGGGAAAAAAGTGACATTGAAATCCAAGAAAATGAAGGGCAAATGGCTGAATGACAAATGAAGTATAAGAAGCAGAAGGAAACCTGGGCTCAGTGGCTCACGCCTGTAATTCCAGCACTTTGGGAGGCTGTGGCGGTTGGATCAGGAGGACAGGAGTTGAAGACCCGCCTGTCCAATACGGCAAAACCCTGTTTCTACTAAAAATAGAAAAATTATCCAGGTATGATGGTGCAGGCCTGTGTTCCCATTTACTCGGGAGGCTGAGGCAGGAGAATCGCTTGAACAGGGAGGCAGAGGTTGCCGTGAGCCAAGATTGTGCCGTTGCTTTCCAGCCTGGGTGACACAGTGAGGCTCCATCTCAGGAAAAAAAAGAGGCAGAAGGAAAACAAGTAATATTTAAAGATAGTGGCACAGTGATTGCAGATCTGTGAGGGAAAGTATCAACCAAATTTTTATTTCTAGATAAACTATTCTTAAAGAAGCAAAAACTCAAGGAACCTAAAAATGTTAAGGCTTTAGTAGAAAAAAAAAATACTCCAAAATAAGCAACTACTTGCACATAGTCATCTAATAATACAGTGAATTAAGAAGAAAAATTTAGAATTGGGGAAATTTTGTTAACTCACTTTCCTTGAAGATAGATAGATTATGTGTAATTTACATTCATTATGTCCACACAATAGAGTAAGAATCTAATAAACCTTTTAGATTTAAAACCACGCAATTGACCAGACCTCGGCTATGGGCAGAACTTAAAGTGTGCTATCTCCTCTTACAGAAGGAAGTCAGTGAAATACTGACTTATAAAGTTGTCATTAAAAGGGCTTTATCCTGCCCATAGCATCTATTCTTAACCTTTAGAAAGTTTCATGGAGATGAATTATCTGAAGTTTAGCAATACTTTTGGTTTTATGACATTTGGTTTTCATTCGCTAAAATTACATAACTTGAAATGACATGCATATTATTCCATTTTAATAGAACATTCATACTTTTAATCTTTCCCTTCATTTGTCTTTCCTGCTTACTACGTATATTATTTGTAGAGAATTGTTGAAATGATACTTAACTACTTAATGATAATAACTAAATAGATTTATTACTTCTGTGTAGTATTTTTGATGAGTTTTTAAGAACTTTCCCACATTGTTCATTTTAAGAACATATACTATTTTATTGACACAGGATATTTTTCTTTAAAGAAAATGAGTGGCATAGTTTTGTATTTTTTTTTTTTGATAATTAAGTATTTGCTAATGGTAAAAACATAAATGTTTCTACCCTCAAAAATCTCAAACTCTGTCCTGAAGAAATTTAACACTTTAATACTAAAAAAACAGAATCAAAATATCTCTTATGTTCTCATTCTCTATATGCAGAAGGAAATTTTAAAGTAAGATTTTTTTTTCTAAATTCAGAATTCACTTGTGCATCTTTGTTGAATTTAACATCTTATGATACGGTTGCCTTATTTCATATCTGTCAAGTCAGAAATTTGGCAGGATGTAACACTATACCCTACTTTCATGCAAATATCTCAACCTGACACAGTATCATAGATGTTGGTGGAAGACCTGAGACTACAGGGTCAGAGAAAAGACCATTTATTACAACCATAGCAGTAGCAAGAACAAAAATATAGCACTCATTTTTTTTTCAGAATTCCAATTTCCATGGAGAAATACAAATAGGGTTCATTGTTGCTAGGCAGTGGGGTTCTTTAAAAAGAAGCTTGATAGTAGAAAACTCTGGCCTTGTATAGGCAAACCAGCCCATCTGCTCCTTAAGAGAGAAGTATTACTCTGAAATGCCATGTAAGCCTAATCCAGGGAGAGAGAGATGTTCCCATCTTAGTGGAAAATCTGTTCTAGGAGGAAATATCTCTATGTTTGCAATTTGTGCAAACATCCTTGCAAAGAAAGTATGGAATAAGTTAGCTGTTAATGCCTTAGAAAATGTTTGAATACATGAGAGACTTTTAAAAAATTGTCCCCCTGTAATATCTAGATGTTACCCCTTGATGAAACTTGCTGTTGCAGAATGGATACTAGTTTCTTTTTGATCATAATATTAATATATTGTTAACGACTATGGCCTTTTGGCTTTTTTATTAATCTTTGAACCTTTTGCTCAATAAGAATTTTAAATTGAACTAAAATTTTTAAAATTTAATAGCTAATTTTTATAGCAAAGCTAAGACCTTGAAACCTTTATTTCCCTTATTCTCTAGTATTTTGTCAAAATCATAGCAAATTAAGCTGCTAAGTAGATAATGTACAGAGTTATGGAGTATGATGTTCAACTGAGGAACAGCATTGTATTATTTTTGGAACTATGAAATGTAAAGCATTCTAAATGTAATACCAGTATGAATCACTGAAATGTGATTTCCTGTGGAATTAATATAGCAAGGATATCACATATTCCTTGTCTAGAAATTCTTAAGTTTTTGTTCATATTGTTATAATAGAAAAATCTTGAAACAAGCTAATTAGAATATTAAGTTATATGGAATAGAAATCTTTGTAGGAAAGTTTGTGTAATATGTGTTCTTTTCTAAATCTAATTTGGGACTACTTGTGGCAGTGAGCTCTCTGACAGTTTTTTAAGGATAGTCTATGTAGTTTAAGACTTCTCTCACTTATATTGTTGTGATGATTTCTTACTCCTTTCCCCACTTCTAGTCATTTCATGTTTAGTGAAGTCTATTCCTTGTATTAAAACTGTTATTTGGCCGGGCGTGGTGGCTCAAGCCTGTAATCCCAGCACTTTGGGAGGCCGAGGCGGGTGGATCACGAGGTCAAGAGATCGAGACTATCCTGGTCAATATGGTGAAACCCCATCTCTACTAAAAATACAAAAAAATTAGCTGGGCATGGTGGCACGTGCCTGTAATCCCAGCTATGAATCCTCAGGAGGCTGAGGCAGGAGAATTGCTCAAACCCAGGAGGCGGAGATCGCGCCATTGCACTCCAGCCTGGGTAACAAGAGCGAAGCTTCGTCTCAAAAACAAAAAAAACCTGTTATTTAATATGCCTCTGGGTACCTGCAATTATCCCTCTCTCTTTTAGTCCTTCAACACGTTCTTCAATATTTAGTCATCAACATGTTCTTTAATATTTATTTGTATAAGATAAACAAGACTACTAGGAGTATAATCTGTGTGTGTCTACATTTTTTTCCTATCTGAAACAATTTTCTGTACCCTTGTTAGCTAAAACATGCATTATTGATAGCCTAGTTCAAATGACTTCTTGATAACCTGATGAACTTCAGCTTGTATTACTTTTTTAAAAATATATGATCCTTGGCTTTATGTGCCTCTCCTCTAGCAATTATGTGCTTCTTTGTAACAAAGATGTTTATGTTTGGTCTAATTTGTGAATTCATTTCTGTTTTTTTCCTACTAGCATGTAAAAGTCACATCTGAGGCTCTGTGTCATGCTGGCAGAGATCTTCAGCAAATCATCCTAGATCAGTGCTACAATTTTGTTTGTGTGAATGTAAGTCAATTTAAGTGATTGAAAGCACTTGAGGATATGAACAAATGTAATGTGGAAGAGAACTGATTTGATTCTTAAAATATTTATATATGAGATTTTGATGAGTTATTTTGTGTGTTTTTGGAGATTTTTTATCTTTGAAAGAGAAATAATACTTTTAACAAGCTAAATCCCATAATGAGAACAGTGATATTTTGGACAATATTGTCAGTTTTCTGTTTTGTATCTGATCTAAAGTACATAATAAGGAAGACACAGGTTTGACTCAATTGGTAGATGAAATTTTGACATGCATAACTTTATGGATATCCTTTAAAATTACTTATAAATTGAAAACTAAGCTTGATAAATATTTTGAATGTTATGCAGAATCTCTTCATTTTTTGTCTTGAATTAACTTTTAAGTCATTTAAAAATGTCTTCTCATATTCTTTTATTTTTCTGGTCTTTTAGGTTATGACTTCTGATCTTCAAGAAACCCAGAAGTTACTGAGCATACTTGAAGAAAGTCATCTTTCCATTTTATATCCTGTTGTTGTTGTTTCAGTAAGTGAAATCATTGCAGATTTTCTCAAATTTATGCTTCCTTCTTTGTAACTAATGTATGTATTTTTAAAAACTTGATCCAACTGAGAGCATTAACTGAAACTCAAAAGAAACTCTTCTTTGTGGATTCCTCTGCTTACTCTCTTGCTATGACTTCTGTGACTGAATACCTTTATTATTGCAATCATTTGGTTGAATTGACAGGTTTGGAAATCTTTTTCAACCCAGCAGCCAATTTCATTTTTTTTCCTGCACAAAAAATTTCATAGTATTCAGCTTAAGTCAACTGGTTGTTTGGATAATATAAAATAGTTTTATTTAACATATTATCAGAATACTATTAGGGAAGCATTCCAGTTGTTAATGTGAGGGGAAAAAACCTAGTAGAAGAAAACTGGTTCTTGGGTTGTTTGATTTTCTGTGTTCCAATGAAAGCAAAAGTAGAACAAGTAGCAAATAAAAAAGAATTCCTAGAAGAATGGCCTATAAAAATTTTGGAGAGATTTTTCCATGAAAATCTAAAAGTATATGTTTAGTGCAGAATTCATTTGATTAGCCTGTTAAACTATATAGCGGAGGGAACTATCAGAGAGTAAAGTTGGGAAGGAACAGAATCAGAGCCCAAAGCCCTCTAAATTGGCTGAGGAGCAGAATCTATAGTTAGTAGCATTTTGCTGTGTGAAGGGGTTCCAGACATTAAATTCTCTGAAAAGCGTAGCAACTGCCAAGTTTCTAAAGCTCAGGCCCATCCCATAGTGTGGGAATGTAATTCTTTTCTGGTAAGGTTAATGATAATAAGATAATTTGCAATATAAGTAACTTAACTGAGTAATGCAACTAGTAACAAGTTAGCATCTGCAACTAACTAGGAGATATAGTTAATTCAGTGGCCTCTTTATTTAGTCATATATCATAAAGGTAACTTTCATAGTTGCATGTCGTTATTAAAACCCAAGGTTCTTATGTAATTGATCTTCATACAACACAGATGCTTCTGTTGAGCTTTTTAGGAACAATATGGAATATATCCATTGTTGGAAGCCTCTGAGGCTCTGTAGGATAGAGGTAAGTTCAGAGTTCTGTGTTTGGCCTTTTATTCCTCTCTCCACGTTTACTCGCTTAGAAATCTTATTTTTCCATGTTCCCAGATATGCTGATGAGGCCATCAGTGTAGTGAATTAAAAGTCTATATGCTAAAATATTGTAAAATGTTTATTTTATATTGGGATATTATCCTTTTATAATACTTGAATGCAGGCATACTTCAGTTTCTTGCACTCTGAAGATACATGTTTACAAACTGAAGTTTTGTGGCAAGCCTGTGTCTAGCAAGTGTTGGTACATTTTTCCACAGTGTATGCTCAGTTCATGTCTCTATCACAACTTGGTAATTCTTACAATATTTAAAAATTTTTCATCATTACAATCGCTGCTGTGGTCGTCTGTGATCAGTGATCTTTGATATTACTGTTACTGTGTTGGAGCACTGCAAATCACATCTGTGTAAGATGGCAGGCTTAACTGATGAATGTGTATGTTCTGATTGCTCTTCTGACCAGCTGTTTCCTCATCTCTCTCCTTATCTTTGAGACTCCCTATTCACTGAAACACAACAATATTGAAATCAGGCCAATTAATAACCCTACAATGACCCCTACATGGTCAAGTGAAAGGAATAGTCCTGTGTCTGTCACTTTCAGTCAAAAGCTACAAAGCCTACAGAGCAAGGCCCTAATTCCCTTCAATTCTGTGAAGACTGTGGAAAGTGAAGAAGTTCCAGAAGAGTTTGAAGCTAGAAGAAGTTTATTTATGTGGTTTAAAGAAAGAATTGTCTTTATAACAGAAAAATGGGGGATGAAACAGCAAGTGCTGATGTTGAGGCTGCACCACATTATCCAGATAAGCTAGCTGAGATAATTGATGAACACAGCAATGCTAAATGTGAGATTTTTCATTGTAGATGAGACACTTCTACTGGATAAACATGCCAGTGTGGGGGCTTTTATGGACAGAGGAGAAGTCAATGCCTGGCTTCAGATGATAGACTGACACTTCTTAGGAGCTAATGCACCTAGTGACTTTAAGTTGAAGGCAGTGCTCACTTAGCATTCTCAAAATCCTAGGACCCTTAAGAATTATTCTAAGTCTATTCTCTGTGCTCTGTAAATAGAACAAAACCTGGATGACAGCACATCTGTTTACAGCATGGTTTACTGAATATTTTAAGCCCGCTTTTGAGACTTACTGCTCAGAAACAAAGATTCCTTCAAAATACTTTTCAAAAAACTGCTTATTGATAATGTACCTAGTTACCCAAGATCTTTGATGGAGATGTATCAGAAGATGAATGTTGCTCTTTGTCTGCTAACACAACATTTATTCATCAGCTCATAAATCAAGGAGTCATTTAGATTTTCATTTCTCATTTTTGAAGAAATACCTGGTGTAAGGCTGTCACTGTCCTAGATAGATTCCTCTGATGGATCTGTGCAAAGTAAATTGAAAACCTTCTGGAAAGGATTCACCCTGCTAGTTGCCATTAGGTACATTCATGATTCATGGGGGATCTAATGTTAATCGGAGTTTTGAAGACTTGATTCAACCCTCATGGAAGACTTGGAGGCATGTGACTTCACCGGAGGAAGTAACTGCTGATGTGGTAGCAATAGCAAGAGAAAAGAAGTGGAGTCTGAAGATAGACTGAATTGTTCTAATCTCATAAAACGTTGATGGATAAGGAGTTGCTTCTTATGGATGAGCAAAGAGAAAGTGGTTTCTTGAGATGGAATCTAATTCTGGGGAAGATACTGTAAATGTTTAAATGACAATGAAGGATTGAGAATATTATAGAAACTTAGTTGATAAAGCAGTGGCAGAGTTTGAGAAGGTTAAGTCCAGTTTTGAAAGCAGTTCTGTTTTGGTCAAATGCTATCAAACAGCATCCCATACTACATAGAAATTTTTGGGAGAAAAAGGATCACTCTAGGCGGTGAACTATGTTGTCTTATTTTAAGAAATTGCTGTATCCGGCCGACCTTTGGCTACCACCACCCTCAACAGTCAGCAGTCATTACACCAGCAAGAAGATTAGGATTCACTGAAGGATTAGATAGTAATTAGGATTTTTAGCAATACACCATTTTAATTTAAGATATGTACATTATTTTTTAGTTATGCTACTGTATACTTATTGAACAATAGTATAATGTAAATCTGACTTTTTGTGCCACTGAAAATTAAATTTCATGTGACTTACTTTATTGTGAAATTTGCCTTACTAGCTTCAGCAGCCTGGAGCAAAACTCCCAATATTTTTGAGGTATGCCTCTTACTTTCCCATTGCATTGGCAGACTTAGCATGATGATATTATTATGAGCATTATTTAATAGAAAAATGTGTAACTAGTTTATATTTAGAATCTGTATCCATAAGGATGGAGCAAATAAATAGAAAGGGTATTGTAAGTAATGCTGGCTTCTTGGATGGAGAGGCAAGTGAATAACGTCTGAGTATTTGAATTGTCCTGTCAATGATTGTGAGTATGACTGATCAGGCTTCATCGTTTTTTCTTCTGATGTCACTTTCACCAAAAATGGCCAGAAACAAATTTCAGTTTTCCTATTAATCAAAATTGAGCAGAACATTTCAAATGCATAGCAATTTAATAGATGTATGAAAAATATGATAATTATAAAATAAGACATAAATCTAGATACATCAGTTTGCTCATTAGTAAGAGGAAAAACTATTAATACACATACATACATAGTGTTTACATGTGCAGATTCATATGCAGACATGTATACATACATGTTTGTAATTGGAAAATTACATACCAGACACTTCAGAGGCTACAGTGTTCTCTTTCATTCTGTCTGAATTAACTTTTCTGGAAGATTAAACCAAGAAAAATGTCTTACCACAAGCTTTTTATTTTTTTTATAAATAAGACTTTTGTTAACTTTAAATTATGAAAAGAATGGTCAAAAGGAGTGTGATCACTTGCTTCCCTAAACAATTAGCTTTTATTCATCAGAAAATATATTACAAAATGACATCAAAGTTATAGAAAAATATGTCCATTTTGATTTTTGAGTTATGTGATTCCACAGATATCGCATGCATTTATTGTAAATATTTAAAGGCCTATTTTGTCTTGGCTGAGATGTACAGTGGTTTACAGTGGTTGTTCTTATGCAAGGGTCATCAACTTCCAATTTCAGTTCATCTGAAGAGTGGAAGGCTTAGCAGGAATGAGTCACATGCAAAGTAAAATTGTGGTTATTAGCCATTTATGAGGTTTTTCTTTTTTTTTTTTTTTTTTTAATTTTTTATTGGATTATAGGTTTTGGGGTACATGAGCAGAGCATGCAAGACAGTTGCGTAGGTACACACATGGCAGTGTGCTTTTCTTTTCTTCTCCCCTTCACCCACATTTGGCATTTCTCCCCAGGCTATCCCTCCCCACCTCCCCCTCCCACTGGCCCTCCCCTTTTCCCCCCAATAGACCCCAGTGTTTAGTACTCCCCTTTCTGTGTCCATGTGTTCTCATTTTTCATCACCCACATATGAGTGAGAATATGCGGTGTTTCATTTTCTGTTCTTGTGTCAGTTTGCTGAGGATGATGTTTTCCAGATTCATCCATGTCCCTACAAACGACACGAACTCATCATTTCTGATTGCTGCATAATATTCCATGGTGTATATGTGCCACATTTTTCCAATCCAGTCTATTATCAATGGGCATTTGGGTTGATTCCAGGTCTTTGCTATTGTAAACAGTGCTGCAATGAACATTCGTGTACATGTGTCCTTATAGTAGAACGATTTATAGTCTTTTGGATATATACCCAGTAATGGGATTGCTGGGTCAAATGGAATTTCTATTTCTAAGGCCTTGAGGAATCGCCACACCGTCTTCCACAATGGTTGAACTAATTTACACTCCCACCAACAGTGTAAAAGTGTTCCTTTTTCTCCACATCCTCTCCAGCATCT